TTTAAACTTTGCCGCTAGGTGTCAGAGTTGTAAATCTGTAATATTTCAGTCATTTCATGATCAATGTATTGTGTTTCTAACGGGGAAATATTGGGGCCACAGTAATAGACTCTTTCAAGGCATTTTTTAATACCATGGACTTGTGGGGCATTTTCCCCACTAGGCCCCTTCCTCTGCCCCACCACTGAAGAAGAAAAATGGCCTATTGCCCCAAAGCCAGGGCCCTAGGACCTGTATTGAGTGAACAAGTTTAACATTGAAAATAAGTTAAAAACAAAATTTGTTGGTGAGCATACTTAAACTTATATTGTGTTTGAAAGTTTAGCATGCAATTTATTACAAATTTCAGCATTAAAACTTTGTTTTGAGAAGCTCGCGATTTTTTTAAAAATGTGTTCCCAAATTAAAAAAATTTCCTGGGGGACATGCCCCCAGCTTTAACCCCCCTAATCAACTTGTGCCTGCGGAACTCTGCTCACACATTCGGCGATGCAAATTTTTTTCCCTTAGATAGTCGGACTCCTCGTTGATGTCATTGATAGCCAGACGCATCATTGATCCGCGTCCATGCAGGTCTCTGTGCGTTATCGATTGATCCCTTCGTACCTTGCGTAACCCACTGGTACACCATATATCTATCACTCCATGTTGTTCTTCTTCGACCACATGTAAAAAGGTGGATTATTTGCTTTGCGATGCCATAGTAAATCTACAAACTTGTTTTTTTCTGGTTCTGTGAATACTCAAGAATTGTTATTGCGAGTTAAAACTATATATCATCCCAATTGAAGAGAGGGACGTATTGCAGAATACCCGCCCACTAGTACTAGTAATATCATATCATGTAGCCTGGCCACTATTTCACTGGATACGTATATACTAGTATCCAGATTTTATTGCTTCCTATTCAGATCTTATTATTTGTTCAGAATTATGGAATCAAAAACAATGAAACTTACAAAGAGTTACAAAAGCAAAGAAAAGCAAGTGCGAATGGCGAAATATATGACTTAATAAAATATGTCAGATGTGATCACCACACAAGATATGAAGCCACAATGTGTCCTGCTCAGATTTTGGCATCTGAACCAACCATATTTTGAAATTACCAATTGCGCGTGCAAGACACACTGGGAAGCGCATCTAATATTAAGAAGAGTATCCGCTGAATGTTTTCATTAAGGGTGCGTGTTAACGATGTGTCCGACTATCAATAAGGAGTCCAACTGTCTATGGAAACAAATTACTTTTTGGCGATCACATACTATGCCGGGGGGAGGGCAAGGAAAATGGGCCCTTTGGCAGTTTTGCCCCACCACTGAAGAATCCTTAAAAAATGCACTGGACTCTTTCAAGGTCAAGATGCCATAATGAAACACAATAGTGCAAGGGCTGCAAACACAATTAATGGAATTCCCTATAGGTAAATTTGCAAGGGGTATAAATATAAACACAATGGTGAAACTACTGAACAATATCAAACTATCAAATCATTTATGTATTGATACGAGAATTTGTGCGACTAATCGACATTGCCGAAATACATACTTGTTAAATGTTGGGTAAAATTTGGATAAATATTAGATGAGAAATTATACCGTAGAGTAAACTGAATGGGGTTATATATTGTTATTGTTCATAATAGTCATAATAGTTCATAGTTTGTATGTACATGATTTTTGTAGGAGCTATATTTCACCCACCTAGTCCCACTTAGCCTGCGAACAGGCTCTGAAGAGGCTAAGTCCCACTAGTCTGCAGATCATCGGTCAGAATAGAAGCGTTGAGAATACAAATTGGATAAATTTAAAGGCACAGTTCAGCCGTTTGAATGATGGTGTTTGAGGTGCATTTCAGCCCTTTTAATTGAAAAACACTAACTAGGAAAATGCATAAATCAAGATCAGCAAACATTATGCATAAATCAAGATCAGCAAACTCAATGTTTTTAACAATAAAACTGTTTTATTTAGCACTAGTTTTTGAGTGAACTACATCTAAATCCAGAGATCTAAATCAACTTGTTTCACTGGTTTCACAGGGTCTCACCTCTGCCACGCCCCCAAACATCTGCTGCGGCGAGACCCTGTTCGAGTATGGTCACGTGACATCCCAGATTTTGGGATGTAGCGTAATTTGTCGTTAGGGTGGGTTAAGACACGTGATCGTGAAACGGCTTTTTTTTCGTTGTGAAAGGTGATCCATACCCCCCCACCTTTCCCACCTTCTTACATTAATGTGCGAATCCAAACATTAAATTATAAAAACAGGCCATATTTACAATCCTCGCTTCTCCAGTTTACGTATACCGTCAGATTAATAGGTAAATAATTTTTGTTAGGCTTTCATTAGACAGATTTAGATCGAGGGCGCGGACGTCAAAGACGACGTGAAAATGGCGTCAGTCTTGCCTAGATTTAATCTTTACGTCCCAAATATATTATTTACATCGGAGTTGCATCATAAATTGTACTCAGATTCAAACGACACAAAGTCAATGATTTTATAAAAGTAAAAGCATATTGTGTATTGGCCTATTGGGTTTACACTTTTACAGGTTCATTTAACTCAAGTCACAACAGACAATTGGACAGGCCAAATCCATTGATATGACAACTTCAAAAAACGTTTTTTCGAAGCTAGAAATCCTGATTTTTTTCACATTTTTCTAGGGATACTTTGTTTTCTGCTCTCTAGACTCCCACTCGCGGCTCTAGTGCTCCACTCCTAGAATATAGACCTTACTGGGGTTTGGTGACACTTTATGTTGCTTCAGATACCTGCTCGCGGCTCACCCCCCTAAAATTTCTAGCACCACCCCAGTAAAAAACATGAAAATCCGTCTATGTAGGGCACAATGTGTTAACTAGATACATTGTCAGATTTTTTGGTTAATTTAAGCAATTAAGCTGCAGAGCTTCCCCATTGACGAGTATAATCGTATGGCGTTAGACAAGTAAAGAAATAAGTAGGGCGCCCTGGGGCACATATTTGCGGCTCAATGGGGTAAAAATAAGTCTGAAACTTTTTAGTGTTTCTACAGTTCTAATATTTATACCAAGATTAAGCAATGAATATTAATTCAACAGAATAAACACTTTTATATTGATATAATAATGTAAAAATTAAAGGTTTTTAAAACAATAGAATGGTTCCAGATGAAAACCGATCATCGGAAATCCAATCGATCAATCAATGGTAATCGATGTTAATTACTTAATTGATGTCAATTGACATTGGTCAATCGATGACCAATCGATAGTCACAAAAAACTTATAGCCAATTTTATCGATTATTATCGATTGTCATCAATTTTCTTTGATATTTATCGATTTGTATCGACAAAATACAAACTAATCAAGCAAGATTGCACGATTGTGAGAGCGAGAATAGGCTTGCTGCCTTTCCTGTCCTATGACTCGTAACAACTAAACGAGAGCTTTTCGCATTTCGCATGTTTTTAAATGTGATATTACTTTTATTTGTCTTTTACCGCGTACAGTAAGCATGTCTTTCAGACAATGGTCAAATATATTTCTTGCCGATCAAGATGAACGGCAACGTTGCTTCCTCGCCGATCAAAAACAATTTCCTGCCGATCATTGATCGGCCGTTATTTCGAGCCCTGTATCGATTTCATCGATAATAAAGTACGCCGGGAATGGTTATAATTTGCACCACTCCACGTGTTAATATAAAGAGATTTTCCAAGCAAAATAAAACATGTGTACCCTTATATCTGTCAAAAACATATAGCTACTACGTCATGATACACGTTTACTACAACCGTGAGACATATAATGTCAATAAACACACAAAAATTAAATAATTTGTTTAAATTTTACCTGAGAAATGACCGGCCATCTTGCGGTTATAATTCCATGACACGCAGTCACCAAATATATTAGCATAATTAGGACCCAACCCCATATGAATAGTGGTAACACGGTTCTTCTTTGCTTGTATAGTTCCACAGCACTACGGTAATAGGGAACTTTAGATTTGACTACGAGTACGACTACGAGTACGAGATTTCAGATTTAATTTGATCGCGTGCGAGGAAATTACCGTAGTCGTTTTCGTTTCCATTCAAATCGGTTGCTTTTATAGCAGTAAACCAACAACGAGAGAAAAAGTTTCATAAACTAAATCTCCTGCATACTAAGTCCCCTACAAAACGTGAAAATAAGTCTTAACATTAAAAACAGGCCAGATATTTAGTACTAATATATTATTTGCGCCGGATAAACGCTATATACATGCTACAAATTATTTTTGGTAAACAAAAAAAGCCAACTTTCTTTGTTTTTTTTGAAAAGTCGTCGTGAGGACTGCGAGGTTTCTCCACAATTTCGTACTCAGATGGGCGACGGCTACGACTTTTTCGCGTCAGTACGGGATGGCGTAAGCATACAGCATGCGTTTAGCTTGACGAATCTCGTACTCGTAGTCGTACTCGTAGTCAAATCTAAAGCTCCCTAATGTGGTACTGTGGTACCGGCGGTACTATGGTACTGTGGTATTGTGGTACTACGGTAATGTGGTATTGTGGTATTGTCGTACTGTGGTACGACGGTATTGTGGTACTGTGGTACTGTGGTATTGTGATACTGTGGTACTGTGGTATTGTGGTACTACGGTATTGTGGTACTACGGTATTGTGGTATTGTGGTACTGTGGTATTGTGGTACTGTGGTATTGTAGTACTACGGTATTGTGGTAATTTTATATCTCGTCAATATTATAAAACTAACTATAAAACTTATTTGCATGTTAGAAAATCAAATCAACCCTCATATGTCAGTTTATAGTAAAATTGGTATTTTTTATTTCATATGACATATTCATCAACTCATTCCTCAGGATATAACTACAGTATATAGCTAATTGCATTAAACTTGTCCACCGCCGAGTCTCCGACAAAGCTAAAAGCTAAGCGCGAAAAGTACGATGGGAGTGACTTAGTAATTAACTGCATGCGCATAATAAAGACCTATTTTCCCTAATTTAACCGGCACTAAAGGCTGATTTCCACTGTTGCGTTTTTCATACGTACGTATACGCACGTAAAACTTTAAATCCGTTTAAATGTTACTTATGAAATAACCAAATAAATAAAGCAACAGAATTTAGTGTTCCGCAAGTTTTAGTATGCATTTGTTAACTTATTTGTAAAATATTTAAAAAATAGAAGGATTCAAAGTTTCACGTGCGTGTACGTGCGTACGAAAAACGCAACAGTGGAAATCAGCCTTAAGGCTGCATTCCAGTTACGCGTTTTTCATACGTGCGTACACGCACGTAAAAGTTGAATTCGCTTTACACTCCTACTTATGAAATAACTAAATTTATACTAGGTTACCCACAGGGCAGTAATGCTGCCTTTGACAGCAAAAGACAAACTACAGGGTGTTGAACGAGTCCTTCAGAAACATCCTATTATTGTTTAGCCTGCATGGCAGGCGGTCCCTAAAATTGGGCAAGCCTGGGAAATACCGCCTGCCATGCAGGCTAATTATTGTTATCCTTGTTAACCCATTTATTGACAGTACCCTACCACTGACTGAGTATTAAAAATCGTCTGACGTTGGACAGGGTAAATACTAAAGTAGGGGTCATTACTGTGCTGATGAATTAACAAGAGCCATTGGCAGATAGGTTTGTTAACCAATTTACTGGCAGTACCCTATACCACTGACGAGTAAATCTTCTGGCGCTCGACAAGGGAAGGGCGCATTGCCAGCTAATGGGTTAAACCACCGTGGTTAAACATAAGATTTCATGTTGCTCCAGGAAATGTAAACAAGCTATCAGTGTGACATCCCAGTTTATATATTTATATACTCGGAATATTGATTTCTCGGTACATACAAAATTATTTTAAAGTATAACAACCAGCGAAGACGTAAGGCACTAACTACCCTGCACGGCTGCGCGCAGACTATATAACGACATATGTATGTCATCCGTCCGGTCCGTCCGTCATTCATCCGTCCGTCCGTATCCGCGTTTTATCCTAACCCGTTTTTAAAACACAAAGTTTGCATTTAATTAAGGGGCGGACCATTAGAAAAGTGATGGGGGGGAGGGGGGTGGTCCATTTTAAACGTGCACGATTTTTTTTTCAAAGTGTTTTGCTGTGTCCGTTTTTTTTTTGTTTTTTTTTAATAATCCCTTGCTCGAATTTTATTTTTTCCCCCAAAAATTGCTGGCGAGCGGCGGTGAAAATTTTTTTTCCGGACTCAAAAATTTTTGCACGACAAAGAAAAATAGGGTCAAAAAATTTTTTTCGGACTAACATCAATTCAATTAAGGTTTAAAACACATTTCCCCCGAAAAAACTTCTTAAAACACGATTAAAATGCTTATTTTCGAAATTTCGGGGACACCCTTACACTGTACCTCCAATAGGCCCTGTAATTTTCCCCATTGAAAAGTCTCTGCACGAATTTTTTTTTTTCAGACATTTCTGGTGCACGAATTTTTTTTTCTTTCTATTTTCCCTGCTCGAATTTTATTTTTGTTCCCCCCCCCTCCCATCACTTTTCTAATGGTCCGCCCCTAAGGCAGTGCGGTTCTTCATGATCAGTATTTTCAAAAGCGGCCATTTAGACCAGGGGTTAATTCGTGGCAATTGGGGCTGTCAGATTACTACAATACTGAACAGGTTGTGGCTCATCCTCGGTCCCAGGGCCTCGGTTGTGGCTAATTTGAATTGGGGATTTACCAGCCTATAGTCTCAGTCGTCATCTGAAGCAAGCGCGAGAAAAAAACGTGGATGTAGTACAAGACTGGGACCTAGGTGTGCCAGGTATAAAACTTTTAAGACTTATTTAAATATATCAAAGCAGCGAATATAGAGAGAAACTTTGGACTAGGCTGGAGATTTACATTTTCATTATAAAAAGCAGCGAACTTCACTCCTGTGTTCACGTTTCCCATCCTTCTAAGTTTATTTACGTACTAGGAATGGGTCTTTTTTCTGATATATGCAAACACCAAATCAAAGCTGACCTCCTCGATACGGATTCCCACTATTTCAATCAGGAATATAGCTCTCCATCGCAATAAATCGTGCATGAGGCAAAATGTAACAAAACGTAACTGCAGTTCCTAAGGCTAAGAGGTACTTTAACTTTTTTAACAGACGATGCAGCATAGTGGCTCTGTGGCTGCGCTGGAACGAAACTTTAAATTCTTGTTCTGCATTGGTTATACAGATATTCTGAATCACTGTGAGGCCGGAATTTCCATAATAACAATACATTTCCTGGTCAACAGGGGTATCGCCTAAAATAATTTTATCGTACTCCTACAAGTCAAATGACATTAATATATTCATTTAGCGTTCTCAACGGACCTATTACTCAAACTTGCTTTATGGTCACGCTTTTTTCCGCATGACGAACATGCGAGATGAATATTTAATTCATAAGAACCATCGTACTTTTCGCGCTTGGCTTTTACCTTTTAGCTTTGTCGGTGGACAATGTTATTGCAAGTAGCTGTACGTTATGTTGTCATACATATAACGCTTATATATGCGCAAACATGAACTGTCGCGTTGGATATGTTTTTAAAGATTAATGTATAAGAAATGTATAAACTTGCTCTTTGTTTATGAGATTTTGCTCTCGGTTGAACTACATTTTGACATGCATGCAAGGAATTTCCGCAAGTTGTTACTTCGACGATTGAAGATAATTGTTTAAATGGGATTAGGTTGTTATCAGTTTGTCTTCAAGGTGTTAAATGTTTTCTAATTAGAACATTTCCTTTTGGGTGGTAAAAATTTCGCCTTCGGCTCCAGCTTGCTTTCAAGGCAATTATAACATGTCGATTAGCTTCTACTGAAAATACAGACGGGACCTGATTAATTGCTGCCTTAATTATGCATGCGTACAGGAAAAACGGATGTCAAACGGATTCAAACCCCTAAACTAAATGGTTTTACTATTTTTGTAAAACACGATAACATACAGCATATATACCGTAGTACCACAATACCACGGTACCGTAGTATCACAATACCACAGTACTGTAGTACCACAATACCACAGTACCACAATACCACATTACCACAATACCACAATACCGTAGTACCACAATACCACAGTACCGTAATACCACAGTACAGTACCCAGTACCACAGTACCACAGTACCGTAGTACCACAATACCACAGTACCACAATACCACAGTACCACAGTACCACATTACCACAATACCACAGTACCATAGCACCACAGTACCACAATACCACAGTACCACAGTACCGTAGTACCACAGTACCGTAGTACCACAATACCCAGTACCACAATACCACATTACCATAGTACCACAGTACCACAATACCACAGTACCATAGTACCACAGTACCATAGTACCACAATACCACAATACCACAATACCGTAGTACCACAATACCACAGTACTGTAGTACCACAATACCACAGTACCGTAGTACCACAGTACCGTAGTACCACAATACCACAGTACCGTAGTACCACAGTACCACAGTACCGTAGTACCACAGTACCACCCAGTACCACAATACCGTAGTACCACAATACCGTAGTACCACAATACCACATTACCGTAGTACCACAATACCACAGTACCACAGTACCACATTACCGTAGTGCTGTGGAACTATACAAGCAAAGAAGAACCGTGTTACCACTATTCATAGGGGGTTGGGTCCTAATTATGCTAATATATTTGGTGACTGCGTGTCATGGAATTATAACCGATCTTGCTTTCTTGTCGGACTTCGTGCTTCCAGTTCCACAATCAAATTTCAAAAATTTCGTTTTCTTACCATAATCGAATACAAGCTTCGCGTATCACAAATTAATGGTTTCATAGTATTATTAGTTTAATACTAGGAGTAGTCACAGGTTAAAAGTGCGACCAATGTATATTGCATCACACTCCATGACGATATAAAAATTCTCCTTTTCCTGATGTGTCACAACAAGTATAATAAGTATATACACTGATACAGTACAACGCGTTGTCCGAGTATAAACAATATAATTCTATTATATGTTCTACCTTATTTTTTTGGTGCAAAAATATAATTTTGAATATCAACAAGGTCAGGCCGAAATAGATTACAACAAAGAGTCATAAATAACAAATAACAACTAAAATCTAAACAGCTAGTGCAACTGTATATAAACTCGGCAAACGGTCATAGATAACAAATAAATAATAATAATAAATAGTAACTCAATGTAACTGCTATTAAGGTGGCTCCCTACAGTTTTCTAAAATTTTAAGTATTTTAGGTAACCTTCGTTTTGAACCAAATTTATATTGAACACACTTAAGACAGGGCAATATAATCATTTCCAGGAAAGTTCAGAAGTCTTCTGCTGTCGACATATGAACAAATAGGAACAGTGTTAGTGGTGCCATGGCAACCATGACGTTTCATCTTTTGCACTTTTATTGTCTAATTTTACAATCAAACGGCAATATCTTTTTTTTCCTTCGGTCAATTTTTCTGAATTTTTTTTTTAAGATTTATGGTTGAAAGGGGAGTGACATATTAAAATTTGAAGGGATGTTTATAAGGCAGGTTTTGAGATATTCATGAATAACGACTACAAAAAATCTGTCTTATAGAATTTCTTGAAATTTTGATATGTTTGGCGAATCGTCATGCTTAGCAAACGTGCAAAGTTTAAAAAATTTTCACCGAAGGAAACGCGAGAAAAATAGCCCTAAATCCAGTTGAAGCTGTTGACGTGACAAAATATCGATTCGACATGATCACTATTTGCGTGAGGAACACGAAACGCGTACGGTTTATAGTTGGCTTTTTTAGCAATTTTCTCTTTGAGTTTTTGGCTTATATGTATCACACAGATATTTTTTACTTAGTTTGAAATGAAAATAAAAGATACATATATTCAAAATACAAAACATTGAGAACACAATAACGCACTGACTTAATCCAACGTTTCTTAAATTTAGTTTTGTTGTGAAAATCGGTGTGAAAACTTTTCAAAACATTCAAGTAGAGTTTGACTTTTCGTATAAAACAACTCGTAACTGTCTGCATTATAGTTTTATTGCCATTCAGCAGATAAAAAAAGTACATGTGAAGTGAGTTGAATGACAGGATTTACGTAAGTTTCAGTGATAGTTCAGGAGTGCCTTGAAGATAGTATAAAATATAATAATTTTCAGTCCGTGACACTGTTGTTGAACATTGTGAGCATTATTATGAGATACAGTACTGAAACGTATTAAATATATAAAAAAAAACCACACAGAAGGTAGGTAAAAAACTAGCTAACAAAATACGTACTGTTCGAATGTTGAAAAGTTTAGGATTATAATAAAAAACTAGCGTTTTCTTTGTAGATAAAAATACAAAAACAACTTCCCGCGACTTGTTTCAAGATTTTTACCGGACCACGAAGATTCCACGCGCGAGTCGCGAGGATTACGTCTGAGCTATATAAATGTTTTAAACTGAACTATAACTGTAGGGAACTGCTATTAAGTGCAAATCGAACTGCTAAACAAATTTTCAAAACTACACAAGCTAGACAACAATTTTCGACGATCACATTTATTTTGTTTTTTCGAGGGTTTTTTTGGCACGTTTGCCGATGTTTTTTGCACAATTTGCACATGAAGTTAATACACAACTATTAAATCGAACTGCGCTATACAAGTTTTCAAAATTACAATGGTATGCAAAAAGTTTAGTGCATGAACAAATATATATATGTTGTAAATGTTTAAAATTTAAAAACTATCAGTTACCTGCCAAAGTTTAAAAGCCGGCTTTTCCTCTTTAATAATCACAAAACTGAACAAAGAATGCAAAGAATGCACGAAACAGCACGATCAGCACGAACTACGAAGTACGAAGATAGAAAGTAGAAAATTGACGATAAGTTATTAGTGAACCAAATTAAAACAATTAATCCTGATAAAGCATCCGGACCAGATGACATCAAACCAAAAGATTTTAACATTGCTGGAGAGGCATTAATAGACGGCTTGCGTATTGTCTTTAACAAGAGTAGAGAAACGAGGAAAGTACCCCAAGCATGGAAAAATGGAAAATTAAAAGCTGCATTTAAGAAAGGAAATACAACAAAGCGATCAAATTACAGACCCTTGACCATGCTAAGTCTTCCCAGTAAAATGCTTGAAAAACATGTTTCACAACAGATAGATGAACATATAAATCAACATAATCTATCGAATGACAAGCAGTGCATGGGGTTATAAAAGAGGAAGATCGCCCGAGTTGTTATTGTTAAATCTAACAGAACATTGGAAGATGGCACTTGATAGTGGAAAAACAGTTGGCATTTTATTTATAGACTTTAAAAAAGCGTGTCAACCATACCATTTTAATGGGCAAGATACAAGGAAAGGGTATAGCAGGAGAAGTATACGAATGGTTAAAAGATTACTTGACTGATAGGCAACAATTCATAGATCTAAATGGTGTTTACTCAAGCTCACAAACTGTAAAATATGGGGTACCACAAGGATCGCTATTAGGACCGCGACTATTCAAGATATACGTTGATGATCTTCCTGATAATGTAAGTGAAGGATGGGTGTATATGTTTGCCGACGATACTACTGGATATGACATTGGAGATAATATTGATGTAGCGACAGATAAATTAAATCAAATGACTGGGGAAATATACGAATGGTGTAGGAAAAATAAGATAACTGCACATATAGGCAAAACAGAAGCAATGATACTGTCACAACAGCCCTTTTATGGTCCAGTAAAACCGATATGCTTTGGAGATGAACAGATAAAACTTGTAACAACAACACAGTCATTGGGGGTAACAATTGATAATAGACTGACGTGGAAGGAGCAACATAAAAAGGTAATAAAATCATTCAGCGCAAAACTATCCCAATTAAAAAGAATGAAGTATCTACCGAGATATGTACTGGAGGAAATTTATCACAAAGCAATCATACCAAACGTGACATACGGCATACTAGATTGGGGAACATGATCACCTTCGTTAATGGATGATTTAGAGAACCATCACGTAAGAGCGGCAAAGATGATATATAACATTCGGCAAGATAATTTAACGAATGAACAAATACTAGAACAAGTAGATTGGAAACCTATAGGTGATATATATAAAAAGCGTATCTTGACTTTAATGCATGATGTATATTATATGAATGTTCCACAGGATTTGCAAAACCTATTCACACGGACTGCGAGAGTAGGAAGACGAAAACAGAATTTTAATATGATTAGGTGTAAAACCGAAAAAGGAAGGACATCTTTACGGTACAGAGGTCCTATAGCATGGAACCAACTTGATAATGACACCAAGGCGATAGTTAATAAAATCGCATTTAAAACTAAAATTAGGAATAGTCCAAACTTAGATAGTATAAATTTTCTTAAAGAAGCAGCTGTAAATAACAACAAGAATACTAAAGACTTCAAATATTTCTAAATAGGTATGATTTTGTAAATTTTATATTAGTTTAGTTTAGTTTCACAGGTCCACATCAGCTTTTAGTTGACATATGTAATTAACCTGCATTATCAAATAAAGTATGAATGAATGAATGAATGGATGGATGAATGAATGAATGAATGAAGGCAAAATATTCCATGTGGCACGCCATATATGGTCACGAGTTCCATATACGGATAAAATGAGCCCGCAAAGGGTGTTGAATACACATTCCAGCGGAAAAAGGTGTTGAACACAATTTTTTCTCCCATATCTGAGATTAGGATGCTCCCAGCTCGCTCGCTGGTGCTCGGTCGCAATTACAGTGCGGCTACATTAAGTGGGGCCATTTAGAGAACACTAACCAATCGCATTGCAGAACAAAAAGAAAAATCTAATCAAACTAAAGCTCGTCCAATCAAAAGAAAGATTCAGGAATCCATTAACTGCAGTGTTTACTTTTACAAGTCTATTTTTACCGTTTGACATTCGTTTATTTGTTCAAATTGTTTTTGGCCTAATGCTGATTGGCTAATGCGCCGTTTGTTGATTTTTTCAATTTTTGTTCTGCAATGCAGTGCCGTAGCTAGCATTTATAGTTGGGGGGGGTGTAGGCTAAAAATTTCCGAATGACGAAGAAAATTTCCGAATATTCCAAAATTCTTGGCGACCTCCCCCCCACCCCTCCCCCCCGTCGCCAAAAAAATTTCGGTCAGTGTACCATTTTAAGCGTCAAAAATTTTTTCCGGACATAACAAAAGTCAGATATTACATAAAAATTGCCTGAATTTCATGATTTCCGTACAAAAACCATATACTATTATCGCCGTAATTTTCCGAATGGCCACCCCATTTTCCGAATATGTCAAAAGTTGGGGGGGTTAACCACCCCCCCCCCCAATACCCCCCTCGCTACGGCCCTGCTGCAATGTGATTGGTTAGTGTTCTCTAAGTGGCCCCACTTACTGTAGACGCACTGTAATTAAATAACTAATAAATACTGGATCGTTTATTCGTTTTTTTATTTTATTTTTTTAATATTTAGAGGATGTGAATTTTCCGAATATCACACTAAATATTTTTGCTCGACTCCTTCCCATAAACAACTTCCTATAGTGCTTCCACGTAAAAACATAAAAAAAACAAAGTTTGTTGTTGAAAGGCATGAAAAGGTATGCTATATGAGAAGATAATTATTTTACCGTTTTTGAAATAATTCTAAAGAATTGTAGCTGCATTTTAGGCCGTGGGCCGTTGGCCAAAATTATTTCACTTCGTGGCGACCCTTTGGGGAAGAGCTTTTTTGTGATTCAATGCATAGTACCATGGATCCTCGATTACCGCAAAAAGTTCCCAAGCAAAAAACTTGCCAAACACAGTGAAAATGGGTGATCATTGATTAAATTGTATTACCGCAAGAAAATGTGAAATTTTGTATTCAATTACAACAAAAATGACTTGTATCATCAGAAAGCTTACAAAAAACCGCATATAAGACATTCAGATAGTTTTTTGATCCTTCAAATAGTCTTTGAGTTATTGCTGTTTTAAATGTGAAAATTGGACCAAAATGTCGCAATAAGGACTGGGTACTAGGTGAAAAACGCGTTTTTGACAGCGTATAACTCGAAAACAATTTGAGATAGAAACAAACTGTTTAAATGTCATATATCCAGTTTTTTGTAAGCTTTCCGATGATGCTAATAATTTTTGTTCTAACTGAATACAAAATTTCACATCTTTTTCCTGTAATACAATTTAATAGAGGATAATCACCCATTTTCTCGGTGTTTGGCAAGTTTTTTGCTTGGGAACTTTTTGTGGTATTGAGCATCTATGATACTGTGCATTAAACCACAGAAAATCTATTCGCCAGGGGGTTGCCACGAAATTGCTTTTCCAAGTACTTTTTCGCACAATTAACGGCCCACGGCCTATTTGTTTGGAAATGTGATGTTTATTTTGAACCAGAAAATACTTCATTTTTAAACACAAAACGGCCGCTAAAGTTGAATTCCATTTTTACCAGATGGATTACGTTTATACCATTACGTATGATTGACTGATTTTCCGAGGTCCAGGACGCCTCATAACCGCACTGGCAAGCCGAATTTCATTTGTTCAATACCATTGAAATGACTATAACTGGAACACTACCTCCAACCAGAAATTAGCCATTCCGAATTGATGAGAGAACTGGGGACGAATGTTAAAAAGTGCCCAAATTAAGAAATGAACCAAATCACTGTAAAAAGACCACCTCAAAATTAGTAAGTATACAAAGTTTAAAGACGTTTACATGAATACCCTTCGAATAATAAGCATCGAAAATCGCGATATTTACTATGAAATGTACTGTAATTTTTGTTTTTGGGGACGCGCGTCCCAAAAACAATCTCAGTTAATCAGTAATTTCACAATTTTCGAAAGCTTATTACTCGAAGGGTATACATGTAAACGTCTTCAAACTTTGTATACTTACTAATTTTGAGGTGGTCTTTTTAGTGATTTGGTTCATTTCTTAATTTGGGCACTTTTTAACACTCGTCCCCAGTCCACTCATCGACTACGAAATGGCTAATTAGAAGCCAAACCATTCTCGTACCCAGAGTCCTTCTTTCGCGCGGTGCGACGAGGGGCTCTGGCCAAATATATATTCCGAACTGGCATCTGATTGGCTAGTTCTAACACCGGACATTGTTTTCTTACCATGTTTTTATGGTATCCGGTTATGGATTTGGCAAGAGCCCCTCGTCGCACCGCGCGTAAGAAGGGCTCTGGGTACGAGAATGAGCCAAACTTGAAGGCCAGTCCCAGTCTTTTCACGCATGCGAAGAGTGCTCAGTCAATTATGATATAAACACACGTGTCCTGACCCCCAAATTTGGCTTGAAGAAAAAGATAGGCACTTCATCTAAAGGTAGCGTTCCAGTTATGTTCATTTCAATATTCAACACATGCAAAATTCGAAGTTTGAAAACAGACGTCGAATTTTGCATGTAGTTCGCTCGTACTGTATCTATAATGCGAGTTACTGATATACGAACTAGTCTTTTTGAGTGTGAAATACCAGAACAAAATACTTTATTTTTCTATACGTACATCAGTCTTATTCAAGCAATTTTTATAGGCACGAATGGCAATCTAACTCCAACATGCACATCGAGAAAATGCGCACACGCGCTTATTGGACCTTATTGATGCGGGATAGTAAGGGTACTGTATTTATATTTTTTGCTAAAGTTTATTATATTCCGGCATAAGAGGAAAAGATATCTACCCATATATACCCTCTTTACTCCTTAAATATAGTTACATAAATCTGTGGTTAATGCTCAGCAACGCAACTGGACCCTGTACCTAAAGCGGCGGTTGAACGAATACCGGATAGTGATATTTTGAAGCTATTCGGAATCGCAGGGCTGCAGGTTCGATTCATTTCTCGCAACTGCTCCTCATCGTTAGGTTTAACAGTGTGTAGAAATTTACGTTTGAAAATTCCGTCTTCAATCACTAATGTTCATAAACTCAACAGCCACTTCGTACACCAGACAAAAATTGTTTTAATAAATTCTTGATACAAAACAAATTACAAGCTATAAAGAAGGCTGAATCATTGTAAATTACTTCAAAACAAGTCCAATTGAACCAAAAACACTACAAGGTATTTCTACTGAAGCTTCATTGAGCTGTATACTTGCCACCTTGATGTCTAAAATGTCACTAGGTAAATGGTTTAATGCTTTTCACCACTGGCACCTTCATGTCGGCAGTTGTTTGGTAATCAGTTCCCCTGGTCAATTTTTGTGGTGTACCCTGATCGCCTGCCTTTGGGTACACTTGCCAATCGTTGTCCTTACCCACCATAGAAGACCTGGCCCCTTTTGGGAAGTCTTCGAGATCTCCATGTTCTTCAACGTATTCCTGTTCGAGAGACAAAAGATACATGACAAAATGCATTGAAATTAAATTTCAAACTAGTAATCAGGCTTTCCACATCGAGGTCAACATTCAGTGTAACAAATTCATAGGCAAAATGCCTTCCTAACCAATATATTTAAGGAAAGTAAAGTCTTGTTGCACTAACCCGATTGTCTCCCCCGTAATAATTGAATTCAAACAACATCAACGCCTGCACAGCACTTGGTACATGGAACAAAGAACCGTTGACGTCAGATATATCAACCACTTTTTTATCAGCCGTCGACAAAACCACGTGTTCGTACGGACGTGCGCCAGTTTGGAGACTTTTGTTGTAGTCTGCTGTCCGGTACAAAATCCACTTGCCGCTAATAACCTCAGCCTTTATGTATATGTCCGTGTTTTTCAAATCACCGTAACTTGTGTGAAAAAGCTTGGCATTGCCGTCTGCGTTGTAAAGTTTGATACTCTGCGACATTCTGTGCAAAGAAAGAAAATTAACGCCGACTCTATTAATAAACTGCTATCATATATAGCACACTTGATGACATACATGAGAAAATTACTCGTTTCTGATTGGCTAAGGGTAGTGCAATTTTATCGATCAATTTCTGACAGTTAAAAACTTATTAAGTAGGAATGCATGCCATTCAAATAAGTGAGTAAAATTTTTCGAATGTGTTTCATTATAAATGTAAGCCGAGTACGTGTTTTGCATAAGTAATAGTATGTTTTCTCGTTCAACAAACACTCGTTCTTTTTTTAAAGAGTTCAAACTCCACCCGTTCATCGCACTTGTGCAATTTTGATGGTCCTTGGACAACTCAATCATTCGTAGATCAAGTTGAAATCACCATTGCAAACATAGAGTTCCCTAAGCCAAAAAAATTAGGTTTCTAAAAATCTAGTGTTGCGTACTATGATAATTAGACGTGTAACGTCACTTATAGTCCCTCTGTAAAATTAGGTATGAATCGAGCTAAGTCTCGCAGTTAAAAAGCATGCAGTAACTATACATATTATGCGAAAACTCTGCAGTGCACAATAAATAAAACTTTCATACTGTATAAAATAATTCTTCTAACTTACTTGCTTTTCAAAGATTTAGTTTTTAGACTCCACTAATGATCAACTCAGCTCTGTTCTGAATCAACTCAGCACTATTCTGATTCAACTCAGTTTCGTTGTGATATATATAGTGAATGCCTACCTGCCGGCATTTCAAAAATCTTTGTCAACACCAGGTTGAAAAAATTTCCCATGACGTACAATAACAACCAAAAATTTCCCATTTACATTAATTAATACATTTCCATTCTTATTAGTTATATTATTTGGCCCTTCCACTGGTTTCGTAGAGTGAAAGGATATTTCCGTTTCAGTTTCGTTGTGATATATATAGTGATTGCCTACCTGCCGGCATTTCAAAATCTTTGTCAACACCACGTTGAAAAAATTTCCCATGACGTACAATAGCAACCAAAAATTTCCCATGACGTACAATAGCAACCAAAAATTTCCCATTTGCACTAATTAATACATTTCTATTCTTATTAGTCGCCGGGCCACAGCTTGCAGCGACTCTAGGTTTCGGCACGCATTTGTGTCGGATCTTGGATCGTTAGCCACAAAGTGAACATTACGTCATTAATAAAAAAGAAAAATTACGTCATTACTACTCGTCGCTAATTGATTCAAGATGGCCGCTTACTCCGTGCGAATTTAGTATCAACAAGACGCTCTGTGGAGCGTTAACTCGCTGGGACTACACAACTGACGCACATTACTGTTATGATCTAAAGGCTGATTTCCACTGGCACTGTTGCGTTTTTCGTACGCACGTACACGCACGTAAAACTTTGAATCCTTCTATTTTTAAATATTTTACAAACAAGTTAACAAATTCATACTAAAACTTGCGGAGCAGTAAATTCTGTTGCTTTATTTATTTGGTTATTTTACAAATTTAAAGTTTTACGCAGAGGTTTTACGTGCGTATATTAAGCCTGGTGTGGAAATTAAGCCTGGCCCCGAGCTAAGGGGAAACTTCCGGCGTTTATGCCCACAAGTAAAGTTATATTTTATAGTACGCTACATTCTTCTGTCGGCCGCCAGTTTAAAACGTTCGAAATAAAATATTTTGGGGCTTTTGGGCTCAAAACATTATCAAAATGAAGAGAGAAGTGAGACGAATCCACTGGTGTACGGCCGAAAAAGAGAAAACCAATGATACCAAAGGTATCAAGGATCAATCAATCAATCAATCAATCAAAAACTTTATTATTGTGTCAAATAAATTCTAGTTTACAAAGAAACTAATTGGGGACACCTACCTATATTAACTACTATTAACTATATAAACAGAATAAATATATAACAAATATCTATAATTAGTGTCGATTAATTGTTGCATAAATAGCAA